AAGTATTGTTCAACGAGAGCCAAATTCCACTCACCTTCTGAGGTTGTCATGTCGGCAACTGTTGCCTCTCCTAGGAAGCCCGGTTTAGTCCTCCAAGCATAATCCGCTAGCGCCACGCCGCTGTCTAGCCATCAATCCTGCCAAAACAGCGTCGTTTTGCCATCCCGAACGCTCCAGCTTACTCCCTCAAGCATCATACCCCAGACCTGACGGATCCCGGGCCACAGTTGGGAGCATCTCGTTTTTCTTCTGATCTCAATTCCCATCGGCCCTTCCTTGAGGTACTTCTCCTTAAGAACACGAACCCACAGCTCCGTCGGTTGTTTCAGAGTAGTCCAAGCAAGCTTCAAGAAATATGCCTTGTTCAACTCCCGAGCCATTCGAAGTTCTAGTCCTCCCTGGTTCTTGGGTAAGCACAACTTCTCCCAGCTGACGAGGTGCATTTGACGGTGGCCTTGTTGTGACCCCCAAACGAACGCCCTTATCTTGCGATCGATGTAATCGCAAATCCCAGCAGGTAGAACTGCAGTCTGCATGACATACGACGGTATGGCATTGAGGACCGATAATGCTAGTGTTACCCTACCTGCAAGGGATAGATTTTAAGTTCTCCAACCAGCCAGCCTCTGGTCGATTTTGTCAACGATGTACTGGTATGTCTGTTTGGTTACTCGACCGTGAAGTACCGGCACGCCCAAGTATCTCCTCAGGTCTTGCGTCATTGGTATAACTGATAGACCGTTAGTTACACATGTTTTTACCCCTGTTCTTACACCATTTGAGGTGCTGATTCTTGTGTTTTAGGCCGATTTCATGCTAGGTTGTGTTTGTTTGTGATATTTCAGGTCCTAGTAAGTGAATGGAGGCTTGGGAGCGAGTTTGGGGTCGATTGGACGAAGATCGGACGCGTGGCGAGGTGTCAAGGAAGCCGCACGGGCAGTCCGGGACATCACATGGCCGTGCAACTTGCAATTGTGGCCGTGTGATTTTTGCCGAGAGCAAACACGGGCACGATGGAAATCTCACACGGCCGTGCGACCCTGGCCGTGTGGGATGGCTGAAGTGCAATTAATTGGTACGCTGCGTTTTGACTCACACGGGCAACTGGGTGAGCCACACGGCCTTGTCCTGCCCGTGTGAGTCGGGAAATCTTGGTTTCTCAGCCAATTTCGAGCCAAAAAGTGGAGAATCGGATTTTGAGAAAAAAAAACAGAGCCCTAGAGAGAGAAAGTACGAAGAACACATCCTAGAAGCTATCTTGGAGCTGGGTTTCGTCAAATCGAGCTTGGAGATCGTCATAGGAGTGGAAATCATCATCCCGGAGCAGATTCTCCTCATCATTATGAGTATGACTACTCCGATTACTGTTTTCTTCTCTCTCTCTATGGAGTAGAACCCTTCTCTCACTTGGGTATGATGAACCCTAGTTCCTGGTGTTAGGGATTTGATTGTAATGACTTGGGATGATTACACTGTTTGGTTTTAATCGAATGATGCATGTTTATTGAATTGATTGAAGTCTGATCAGCTTTTCTTGATTTTTGCTGTAACCTGAGATAGATAGAATCTGATTAGGTTGTTAGAGCCTCTTCATTCGATAGTAGGAGATTGGTTATACGAGAGTTAGCCAGTTTACTGCTTTGTACTGGAATTCAATTCCAGTAGTGGAGTTCTGTGCTTATTGCTTCAGCTTTCTATCCCGGCGAAGACTAGTCGTCTGCCGGGTAGTTAGACTGAGAGGGCTTGGTCAGCTTAAGAGATTCCAAGCTACTGTCGGATCTTCCGCAGTCTAATCAACAGTAAATCAACCCAGAAAAATTACAATTGAACCTAACTAAGGGGCTAGGGGGACTCATTCCCGAGTGACTCTTTCCTGCTTGAGAAAACCGAATAATTTCCTGCTTTCTTACTGCTTTAAACACAAATCACTCGACTTAGTTGGCTAGATAATAGACAATCACGGAGTAAGCAGTAGATCTAGACCCCGGGTTGATAATAGAACTTGCCTGTTACTGCATCCCCGGGCTACGATTACACTTGGTCGTAGTTTGGTGTTGTGTTTTGGCGTGTCAATAGCAAGTACATCACTTATCTCCTTGCAGAGCCTACGATCCAGGTGCTTGGAAAAGAAAACCCGGGATTTGTCCTTGCTAACCTGCTCTCCTGATCCTGCGCAGAAAGAATTCGGGCAATTCATCACAATTTCCGCCTGCTCCACATTAGCTTCTGCGAATAAGACTAGATCATCTGCAAAAAAAAAAAAAAAAAGATGGGTGAGCTCCACTCCTCCTTTAACGAGTTGTAGCGGCTTCCACTTCTTTCCTGCAACCAACTCAGAGAATCATATGAGATAACCTCTCAATGCACAGCGTGAAAATATATGGGGAAAGGGGCATCCTTGGCGTAATCCTCTCGTCGGGCGAAATGGTTCTGTACAAGCACCATCCCACAACACTTCGAAAGAGGGAGATGCAATGCAAGCCATTACCGCCTGGTTGAATTTGTCCGGTAGCCCCGCTGCCACAAGAGTGCTCGCTACGAAGCTCCAGTCCAGAGGGTCGTATGCTTTAGCTAAATCAATCTTGAGAACCATATGACCGCGTTTTCCTTTCCGGGTTTGAATCGTGTGTACCACCTCTTGCAGAATAATGATGTTGCTCTGGATGCTGCGCCCTGGAATGAAACTAGTCTGCGTAGGCTTGACCAGCAACAACATAAGAGTCTTGAGCCTATTCGCCAAGCACTTGGTAAATGCTTTGTAGGACACATTGCAAAGACTAATGGGTCTGAATTCTTCCACCGATGATGGGTTTTGTTTCTTGGGAATGAGCGTGATAAGAGTCTCATTCACCACTGAAACCATACCCGGGTTGCGAAAGCACTGCACTAGGAATTCCGAGAGAGTCGGACCCACCGTATCCCAGCATTTCTAAAAAAACAAGGGGTGATACCCATCTTTGACTGGCGCTTTATGCAGCCCCATCGACTTGATTGCAACAAGCACTTCCATAGCATTAATATCCATCTCCAGCGCTGTCACTTAGGCTTCCAACTGCGGGAAGTTTGCAGGCAGCAGGTCGCGCGTGGCTGGATCTTCTGTGTAGAGACTCTCAAAGAAATCCCTGACCAGCCTCTGTAGATCGCTGATATCCTCTACCCAATCACCCTCACTGTTTTTGAGCTTTCGGATCCTGTTGAAACAACATCGCCTTAGGGTTGATAGATGGAAATACCTGCTGTTGCTGTCTCCGAGGTTAAACCATTGTGCCCGAGACTCTTGGAACCAGAGGACCTCTTCCTGTCTGAGTGCTGTTTGGAGGTTCTGTCTTGTGGTGGCCTCCTCCTCCATGCTCTCTCGGGACGGGTGGTTCTCATTTATGATTTCTAACTCCTGTAAGCGCCTGAGGAGTTTGCGTTTCCTGGCAAAAATATTTCCAAAAACCTTTTTATTCCAGTCACCCAACTCCTTCGTTAGACTCTCAATCCTGGCACCATAATTACCACCCTTGTCTCAGCCTTCATGCAGTACCCGGTCGAAATCAGGATGTGATATCCATGGGGCGAGGAAGAGAAATGGTTTCTGCAGCTTAGCTCGTGACCTCAGTCTCTCCGTCATGGTGAAGATTGGTCGGTGATCCGACTTGACTTTCGGCAGGTGAGTCGTACTCGTATTTTTGTTTTTGCTTTATACATAGTAATCTTGTACTTACTCCTCGAACTTTTTTTTTATTACATACAATGAAGTCCGATTTCTTACAATCAATCAGCCGAATGATGGTGAAAAAGGTGATGTAATAGTTGTGGATTGAGAAAGTTTTCTGCCTCAAATAACTATGAGTCTATGGGAGAATAGAGGAACCATGGTTCTTATCAAATACTAGGGTTGAAATTGGTTTGTATAAAAACTCATGTATTAACCAAAACCTTCATTTTTCAAAATCTACGAAACAAACGACTCATAGAAGTCTCAAACGTCAAGGAGAAGAACGACATAAATAGCAAAGGAACGGAACACGAGTGAGCCACCTACTTGTACGCGGTTTGGTTTGACGAATGATCGAATCAACAAGGTAGAGTTATAATGGGTTGGACAGAATCAGATCTAGTAACACGAACTCAAAGGATGAAGAAACTACTTCATGACGGATGGATGCTCCAAAAACCACCCCATTTGATGTCTCAAAGAAACAGCCAACTCTAATTATCCATTAGGCGAGATTTTTATCTCCTAGACAAGTTTTCAAATCACAGAGAGTGAGTATGAACCGACATACATATGCTCCTTAGAGATGAAATGCAAAAAATGAGTGAGGATGGTGACGATATAAGTGATATCGGGTCGTGTGACAATCAAGTAAAGCAAATGACGAACTAAATTCCGATCATGTGATGTAGTAGACCCGATTTACTAAAAACGGTTTTCCTCAGCTTGGAACACTAACCCTGTTTACTTTCATTTCTGTTTCCTGTTTTTGAGAAAACAGATGTTGAAAACAGGTGAAAACGACATTTTTTCGTTTTCGAAACAAGTAGGAATTTGCCACTTTCTGTTTTCAGAGTTGGAAACGAATAGAAAACAGAATGAAAAGTAAACATGTTTTCTCGTTTCGTTTCCCAAATTTGTAACATGAAATCAGAAAACAGGAAACGAAAATGGAAGTGAACAGGGTAAAGTGTTGATTCATAATCATATATAATAAAAAATGCATCGATTTGGTTGTATTCCATTTGGTTTTTATTCCATCATTTTAATCTTTATATTAAAAATATAGAAATTTGCAAACCAAAAAGGAAAAAAAAAATTAACCAAAGTATACATTGTGTTTAACTCCGGTTCGATTTGATTATTTATTCGGTCTAATTTGATGCGTTGTTATGCAAGTAATAGACATTAAAAAACCCCCCGAGGAGGATGAGAATTTCAAGAGAGTTCATATTATAATATACCGCATATAGCTAGTAAATTATAACTACTGCAACAACGACAAATCCTGTGCAACAAACAATCGAGAGAGAAAGAAAGAACGAACAAGGAAGCTTTTTTTTCTTAGAAGAATTCTCCGTCCTGGTAAAGCCAAATGTACTGCCCATCATCATATCTAGTATGAAGATACAATCCATCATCTTGTACCCACCAATCGCAGTGCCTGTCGCACCTATATTTGGGAAGAAAAGCCCAAAACACACCTTGGACGCCGTCGTTGATGTGCATGTAGCACCACACCAAGGGGAAAGCTATGTCCCGAATCGCCCACTGGGTCACCCCTCCAAGACCAAGTTTATACAATCTATCATGAGGAGGACCCTTGTTATTGCACATATACCACACCTCGTGGGTCGCATTGTTGGTTATCGTCACGTTCACCATCGGAAACAGCTCCCACAATAACCCGGCAGCCACATTTGTCGGCGGAGCCACCACGACTGACATTGCAATGACGAGAATCGACAACGAGATGGTGTTGATTTTCCCGCGACAAATGGCCATGGCACGGAGAGAAAATTTAAGGGGGGAAAAAAACGGTGTTGTTGGTGTTGTATTTAGAATCCACTAACTAATTTGACTTCAGATTCGAGATTGGAAAATAGCAACTGCTTTTTTTTCCCTGTCTCGAATCTGAACTATACTAGAAATCCATGAAGAAGATGGAAGGAAGAAACTGGGAGATCAAAGGCGTTTAGTTGAGCACATTGATGAAAAGATTGCAATGGAAAAGGCACAGGCATTTATAATAGACATATAACGGGAGAACCAATCCGTTGTAACGATTCACAGTTGGAGATTATTTGCAGTGGCAAACAAAAAAGCTAAGATTGTATTATCAAATAAAAGAAAGGATACGGTTTTTGGTTTCTGTTGAGACGAAGTTATAAAGCAGAAAAGCAGATTTGCCTAACCGTCACCGGTGGTATTCCTATATACTAGTTCACCTTTCACTTTCTGGCTGCAAATATACACACAAGCTACTGCACTGTTTCCTCGCCTTTCCCTCCTAGTTATCACTTTCGTTCATCCGATCCTTCCTTGTATTTGGCAAACTAGGCCGGTTCATACTCAGCGACCGGTTAGCTTGACCACCCAAGCCCCACCCAAGTACAACCCGAGCAGTGGCCCGGCTAAGAGCATCTGAGTTAGAGGATCAGTCGAAGGTGTGAGTATGGCAGCTGCAACAACAGCGCCAACGACCACGTATCTCCAGATCGAGAGCATCTGGTCTCCTGAAACTAGACCGACACCCCCCAGCAGAATCTGTATAACCGGGACCTGTACCAATATATTCAAGATGCTACGTCTCAAACAAGAAAACGAGAGACACAGGAGAACTGAAGCAAAGGAACGAGAGGTTATACTACCTGGAAAGACAAGCCCGTGCTGAACATGAGGATAAGGACAAACTCAAAGTACTGATCAATGGACCACAACGATTCTACAGCACCTTCAGCGTAGCTCACGAAGAAGTTTAAGGCTGCTGGCGTCAGCACCAAGTATGAGAAGACGATTCCAGCATAGAAAAGTACTGATGACCCTAACACAATTGGCCCCAAGAACCTTCTTTCGGCTTTTGTTAAACCTGGCAGAACGAATGCTATGATTTCGTACAGAATCACCGGGCTTCCCAGAAGTAGGCCGCAGTACCCTGACACCTGCATTGTTTCAACATTTTGATTGTCAGATGAAAAAGGGCACTCTGGGAATCGTTCTGGTGTGTTAGTTGATAATAGGAGCTGATAAACCAGCACGGCACAGATGTTAGGAGGAAATCCAAATCTGACTAACCTTCAAAGTGGTGAAAAAGAACTCTCCAGGTGCAAGTTGCAAAAAACGTACACCCTGTGTTTTAACAGGAGCTTCGAGAATCATAACCAGTTCTTTTGAAAATGCAAAGCATCCCACAATAGCACCTCCAACAGCCAACACTGACACAAATAGTCTCTGACGCAGTTCTTCAAGATGATCAAACAAGCTCATTTCTTTGTCGTCTGGAAGGAGCTCTTTGTCTGGATACAGGAAATCATAGATAGCGCCTCCTTTGTTTTCTTGATCGGAGGTCACTTGTGTGATCTCAACTGCATCAAAAGAGAATACCAGTAAATTAGTTTCAACTTATAGATCCCTAAAAGTCAACATTGTTCGGGGGAATATGGCAGTGCGGTTCTAATCATGGCATGGAAAAGAATCCTTCTCGAGATGCACAGTTTACATATCTCATAAGCATGCATAAAAACTAATGGATTATAAGTTATATCACGCTTGATGAGTACCACTATTTGCAACTCACTGATCTAAGGACATAGAATTTACTTCTTGAGATAGCTTGACAATTTCATCCACACGAATGGACCAGATAGTGTTGGGGGGAGGGCACATATTATTGGAAAGTACAGATAATATTTCAAGTGACACAATCCTGACAGAATTACTTACTAAGGCCATCTAGGTAACCATTAATTGATTTACTGGGAGAGCCATATTTATCTATATCAATTCTTCCCACTGGCTAAGAACATGGCTAAGATATCAGCATTAAATCTTTGATAAACCTTCTCCATCACCAACAAAAGGAACGAGAAAGATTCCAATGGTGCTAGTGAGTTCTGAAAACGGACAATCCTTGCGCCTTTGCCATATTGCACAAAGCAGAATACATAAAGAACAGAAAGGACTGACAGCCAATCCAATAAGAAGATAGAAATAGCAAGCTCAGAATATATGAAACCTAGAAGCAGCATCTATGATTGGGACAATAATGGGTACTAATAATCATTGGCAAACGCACTACCAAAGCATGGACTTCTGACAAGATTCTATTTCTTCACACCCAAGTTGAGGATCAACCTGTGCTACCCATATTTAACAATCTAACTTGCTATCAGAATGCCACCTCAACTATTTTTTGCTTCAATTTCCCATCTTTCAAGCTCTTCCATATTTCCACCATCCTGCCTTTCTCTGATAACCAATGATTCAGCTTCATTAGTGATTGACTTTCCTCTGTCAGATTTCCTCCACAATCTTTACCATGCATTCTGTTGAATTCAAGTACCACAACTTCTAATTGTGGATACTCTAAATCATTGCCTTTCTGTCCTCTAAATTGCCAAAAATTTACACTAATCATTCCGTTTCTACAGTTCTGCTTCTCCATCACTTTCCACCCATGATTTTCTCTTTCAGCAGTCTCCCCCTATCCATTATACAAATTCTGATTGTTCCCATTACTCAAGTCTTCTAAGCCTTATCTACCATTCCCTTCATCCTGTCCAAATATCACCAAAGTTTCAGTTGGCTTTCTCCTACCCTAGTAATCGCTAAACTGAAATATTTCCTCACCTACCAATCTCCAGCCACTTGAAGCTCAGGTCCCAATTTACACTTCTCGGACTTCCAAAGTATAGCAAATTCTACTTTGCAGGAAATCAACTAATTATGAAAACAATCCATTCAAACTTACCAGGCCGGTCCTCAACAACTGAAGCAATACCGCCGCTAGAACTGGACGCTTCCTCTTGCTTCCCGCTGACACCATCATCCACAGCGGCAAAGCACACGGCTCTCTCTCCGACGCTCCTCCTGCTTCTCGAAACACCGCATCTCAATCTCCCTCTCCGCACACTTTCGTCCGCCCGGCCAACCGACGGGGAGGTTAATTGTAATCGGTGATGATGGTGCCTCTGCTGCCTTCCAACGGACTCGAGGGGTTTATAGGAGCAGCAGCCATGGACGAGCTTCAAATTAGGAAAGAGAGCTGCGCTTGTGCTTCCCATGGCTACCGCGAACCCGCAGATATTTTGTGCTTCTCGCCCCTTCTTCTTTTCAGACCAAATCTCAACGGTTAACGATTGGCCCCTATTGCTTGGAGTTCTCAGCCTCCATTTGCTCACGCTCATTGGATTTTTGTTTTTCAGACCAGGCGCAATCTAGCATGCCAACTAACACTCATGCTACTCAACGCCTTAAGCGTGTGATAGTAGTTGGGCTGTTTCGTGGATCCAAAGCCCAGAAACCAAACGGGCTGAGCTTGTAACCAGCGTGGAAGGCCGACGCTGCCGCCGCGCAAATAGCCACTCTTTCCCGCCATTTCAAGTGTAGACTAGAGAAAGAGAAGAGAATCTCCCATCCCGTCCAATCCCCAATTTCCCCCATTGAAGAAATTGGTTATTCAAAAGAAGAAGCTGCCAATGGCGGTCCAGAATCATGCCCGCGACGCCCAAAATCTGCTCAGAAGCAGGCTCTGCAACCCTAGTTTCGTATTCAAGGCGCTCTCCGGTTCTCCGGATAGCAATTACAGGTACGCTTTCTCCTCTCTGGAGCCTTTCTTATTCACCCGGAAACGAAGTTTTGGGGTCGGTCTTTATATTCTCTAGCGATTTCGTGTTTTACATGGTCCGCTCTACATTTGCAGCAAATTGAAATTCATATTATCGAGTTCAGTTACTGAAGCATGCAACAACTCCCTGCTGCTACTTGGGCCCCGGGGCTCGGGAAAAACTGCAGTATGTTTCGTAGCCGCTTAAGTGTTGTTCCGCAGTGAATCTTCCCTGTAAAGTTGTCGATCCCACTTGTATTTCTGTGTTTTATTTTCTTTTTGTTTTTGCCATGACAGGTGCTAGAGCTTGTATTGAATGATTTATTGGAAGAATATCCTGATATGATATCCGTGGTGAGTAAGTAGATAAGCCAAATTCTTATAATGGGGCTTTAGAAGTTGCCACGACGGGTGCTGCTTGCCTGATTATGACTGTATTCAAAGTCATCCAGAACGATCTGACTCCTCAGTTGCAGATTGAATGATTCTGTTTCTTCATATTGAACTATACCAGGCTTGTGGGATCAGAAATGACTCTCTTTATCTTGTTTAGGCTCAAGATTCCTCATTTCAACTCAATGATGATTTCGGATTATTCTACTCATGTAGCTTCTGTAAACAAAAAATTCAAAATCACGTAAAACACTGGCTTAAACACAATCCCTTCTTTCTTGTTTAGCAAAGCGACATGCATGAAATGGAGATGATGTTCATCTCTTCTCTGTATATTTTCAGTGTTTTTCTTTTGGTTCTGATATGCAATTGATTTGGGCTGCAGATTAGATTGAATGGGCTCTTGCATAATGATGACAACTGCGCCTTCAAGGTCTCCCTCTGTTGCTCTTTGTCTCCAGTTCATCCTTTTGTTTGACTTGAAAGACCCTAAAATAATAGAGTCTGTTGCTGTCAACCTCTTAATCTAATTTATCTAGGGATGTTTGGATGTTAATGCTGAATCTTTCAACACGACATTATTGTGACGTAATGCTCATTTTCTATTGTGATACTTAATTCTCTGGTCGAGGGGACACTCTGGGATCTCCTTGTACATGAGCAAATGCGCTTGTAGATACCTGAACTTGAATATGTTTTCTTCAATTCTTAATGTTAACCGATTGCTTCCTAAACTTTTTCTGAAACATTTTCCTTAAACATGTTTCTGTAAAGAATCATCTGCTAATAAGATGTAGGATTGTGCACTGTGTTCGAGATGTAGATTTTTTTCTTAAAGTTTCTTAGACAGCAAGTGTAATGTGAATGATCATTTACAGTATGACTTGTAGCTATTTCAACTGACGCACTTGTATACGATTAGTTAGTTTCACATAGTTGCCTCCATTCCTCTCCATAACTTTGTACTTGTGTGTGTGAGTAGATTATGGTTAAATTCCTTTTACTATGGTGTTGATAGTGATGTCTTCTATTTTGTAATGATCACTGGTCATTCAGGAAATTTCTAGGCAACTATGTGTGGAGCATCACTTGTTATTCTCAAAGATGGTATGCCAAAAACACATTATTTTCAGGTAATGGATTTCTGAATAAGGTTTGAATTCGCTTGATCTTGAAAGCTTTCTTGCAGGCATCATTTGATGATAACTCTCAATTCCTGATAGCCATGTTAAGGTGAGGTGATGATCTTTCCCTTTTTCTCTTACCGAAGGGAATGATCTAAGTGATTGTAAATGACACTTTCTTATTACTTTGTCCAAATATGAATTTTTGTATCTAAAATTTTAGGGAGTGTGGATTAGCACACAAAACAATCGTCTTTGTGCTTGAAGAGTTTGACCTATTTGCACAGGTAAAGCACCTTTATTATAGTTGTTCAATCATTATGGTTAGACATTCAAAGTCCTTTGGATTTTGCTAGTTTTGGTGATATTTAAAAGCCAATATTTGAATGTGATGACCCAATGATACTGAACAGGACATTGACAAAAGAGTTGCTTCATCCATATCATTTTATTTTCAGGGAAAACAACGGTTACTTTATAGCTTGCTGGATGCGATGCAATCGATAACATCTCAAGCTGCTGTCATTGGTATTAGCTGTAGATTGGTATGAGTTTGCATATTAGCACTTAATTGTTTATCTACTTATTGAAAGAGAGAGTTATATCTTAGCGAAATTTCTTCTGGCTGAATTCCCTGTCAGTTTACTTGAAAAAACATTGATCAGTATTTTACCAGGAAGGGATATGATGATTAGAGGCTTTGCAATTGCAAATCTTGAAAACTTTGAAATGTCATTGTACATTAATTACTACTGATCACATGATCCCTTAACTCCATAGGAGAGTCTACATGTCCACTAGTCTCAATTGTATAAGAGCTGACCAAGTTCTTGCTACTATATTTGAATAGGGAAGTTTAAGAATTCACTGTAAATACATGGCATTCTATGGTCATTATTGTTGTTGCTAATACGCTTGGTTTTATAATAAATACAATAATTGAACAAAGCCTCCGAATTGCATTGATATATACATGATGGAAATCATAACACAAGTATCCAAGCAACACTAGCATCAAATGGCTTATATGTGCAGCACGTATTTGTTTAGTTAAGACTGAAAATCAGGCATCGACTGCAGGATGCTGATCAGCTTCTGGAAAAACGAGTAAGATCCCGTTTTTCTCATAGGAAATTGCTATTTCTTCCTCCATCCACAGAAATTATAGAAAGGTAATTTCATATGATGCCGGACTGAATAATCGTAGTTTCTTTCACAATAATAGAGAAGTTCAGTATTTGACATTTACTTATGCAGGTTGCTGCAGCACATCTTACTATTGCCAATGGACTCAACTCTTCCAAACGATTATGCTACTCAATTCAATACAAAGCTCGAGGTTAACTTCCACAATCCAACTAATTATTTCTGTTTCAAATATGCAAAATTCATGTGTTGTTGGTATTTAAAAAGTTGCAGAGTGTTTTAGCAGATGAAAGATTCAAAGAGATCCTTAAAAACTATCTGAGTTCCAGTTCTACCATCAACCATCTACTGAGGTTTCTGTAAGTTCAATCACTTTGCATATGTGTGCATCAAACCTATCATGGTTCTTTGAAAAGTATTCTTGTTGAGTCCTGTATTGAACTTGGAAGTTCTTATAGGTTTGTTGCGGTCTCTTCCATTGATGTGAAATCTGGTTACCCATCTCTTGACAATTTCAAGACAGCACTTTCAAGTTTCCGAAGGCAGCCAAAGCAGGAATGCATTAAAGGTCTGGAAACTTGTCTGCACACGGTGCTTATCAATCTCCATTCTCTAACTTCCTGGAGATATGAGCAGCTTCTGTCAGCAGCAAGCACACAATTGGGGCTGTTTGTTTATATCTTTAATAATATGTCTTCGCAGATTGCTCCATTCTGGAACTCTATATTCTCGCATGCATTAGGAGACTGGAAAGCAAGGAGCAGAAATCCTATAACTTCAATTCTGTAATGAAAGGTGTGTTCTTGTTCATAATCCTCTATTTATCCATTACTGATGCCCTAAAAAGTTCCTGAAACCAAAATATTAGCAAATCAACATGACAAAATTTGAGCTGCTGTTCCCATGTCTAATAGAGAGGAAATAGAAACTGGATCAATATACTTGGAGTGAAAGAGAACTTAACCAGCTAATAAGAAATGTTTGTTAAACTGGGCAGAGTATAAATCCATCCACGACCAGTTCCAGACTTCTGATGATTATGCGCGAAACGTATGCCTAAGGGTGTGTTCCTCTCTTAACTCCCAGTATAAAAAATGTTGTTCCAGATTGTTTCCTAACGGATAACTATAGCTAGCACTACCAACTTGTGCAGGCATTCGAACGTCTTTTGCAGCGCGATTTGATCTGTTTCTCGGACAACAGAGGACAAGGTCAATCTGTTGAGTTTCGTCCGGTGAAGTGTCTAATCTCGCACTTTGAGCTCCAAGAGGGGATCAAAGCATACCGTTCCTGTCCCGTAAGTTGCTTCCTCCACTATGGTTTCTGTTACTCGGGTATTTCATTGCTAGCAGGTGTCAGTTGAAAATTCTTGGTATTCTTTCCCAATCCAGCTTGTTGGAGTTTGATTAACGGTTAACACCATACCATCCTTGTTATTTCTCCTGGCAGATCATCCTCACCAAACTTTTGGATCGTTGAACTCAAGAAGGACTAAGGGCGCCGCTGATAAACTGCAGTCTAATCTCGATGGTGAATGATTTACTCATTACGAAGAAATAAGAAAGGAAACAAATTATTGAGAGCACAAAGCCACCAGAATGCAACCCAGTCCCTTTTTCTATTTCAGGTGATACGTATGAGAGCAATTACTGTTTTGAGTTGTGAAAGTGATTTGTCTCGAGTGATTTGGGCTTTTGTTTGACCACATTGTGAAGCCAATTACACTCCTGGAAAATAACTCCTTTTTTTTAGGCAAGAGAAAGTATCAAGCGTGTTGTCATGCAAGTTACATCCTACTTAGGGATGGCAACAAAACCCGAACCCATGGGTACTGTCATCGGCCACATGTGACAGTACCCACCCGACCCAACCCGGTCAACGCGGGTAAAATTCGTGTTGACGGGTTTTGGGCCGGGTTTGGGTTTAAACCCGTTCACTATTCACCAGGTTGGGTTTGGGTTTAGGTAAACCCGGCCCGTGGGTACCCGCCCACTCATATAATTAATTTTTTTTTGTATATTTAATATTCTAAACAACTAATCTTATTTATATTTGTGGAGACATGTCTAATTTTTTCTTTTTAATTGTGTAGAATTAAGTTGTTGTTATGGAGTGGAGAGTAAAGAAACTTAATTGAAAGGAACAAGTTTTCAATTAAACATCTTATTTATGGATAATTTGTGATTTGTTTCAATTTTCTTAAGTTTTCTAGATTGGTGTTGAACAATTTGTATAGTTAATTTGTGATTTGCTTGAATTTTCTAGAATGGTGTTTTATATATGGATAATTTGTATTGAGAGATTGATATTTGACTTTAATTTTGATAAGAACTTGTAATTGTAAATTTTTTACGACAAAACCCGTGGGTACCCATGAACCCGCGGATACCCAACGGGTTGGGTTGGGTTTGAGTTTTTCAAACCCGGTGGTTTTTTTTTTTTTTTTTATAAGGGTGAAATAATATTAGAAACAAGGAAAGAAACAACAGTATCAGATGGAAAGAACCACCCGGGCAGAAGAAACAACCAAGCCCAGAAAACGAAAACAAAGAACAGAAACAAAGGCAAAACAAAAAGCACAGGGACGACACACGTCGTAAACAAATCACAGGGACACAGTGCAGCCCGAAACAAAAGAAGAACCAGCGACTAGGAGGCAGCATCACTTGGGAGTTGCGTGGGGAATAGCCGCAGCTTCAGATTGAAGAGCCACGCATCTGCAATACTTCTCTCGACCTTATTAGCACAGACCAACCAATCACGCACCAGGCGGGCGATAGCCAAGCAAACATCCCGAGAGGAAGCACTCTCATCCCTGAAGATTCGCGCGTTTCGCTCTATCCAGATCCGCCAGCAAAAAGCATGGAGAAAGACCTTGGAGCACCACTGCTGCGGGTTAGAGGGATTCGGAAACTGCCACCCTCTAATGATCGAGGGGAGATCTCTTGCCGGTTGGGCAAGTTGCACAAACGAACTCATAATCCACCATATTTCGCGGCTGAAGGGGCATAAAATGAACAAATGATCTAGGGACTCTTCATTGCAGCCGCACATAACGCACCTGCTGGGGAAAGCCCAACCCTTCCTCTTCAACGCATCATGCGTGAGAACTTTCCTTTGGTATGCAATCCATAAGAAGACACATATCTTGAATGGGATCAACGACTGCCACACGATCTTGTGAGGAAAGCTAGTATCACCATTGGACGAGGACTTTAGCAGCTCCCTATACATGGACCCGGGTGAGAAGCCACCGGTCGGAGCGAGATCCCAAAAGACTCTACCAGGACCTGTACAGAGAAAATCAGAAGGTAGGTTGTTAAGAAGCAATAAAAGTCTCACCCTTTCACTCTCAGCCCCCCTCTCAAGTTGTGAATAGATGGGAGAACCCAAACAGGATCTCCATCATGATTCTGAACCATGTCCCCAACCCGGCAGTTTGGCTCCATTGCAACAGCAGCAACCCTCGGGAACTCTAAGGCAAGCGGCTTTGATCGACTCTTGATCCAAACGTCGAACCAGAACGAGGTATCCGTACCAGCACCCGGCTCAATATGCGCCCAGTTCCAAAACATCTCATTAAGTTTCATAATCTGAGACCAAGGGCTCACACCCACAGCTCCACGAGGCCTCCCCGGTGACCAAATCGACGCACTATTATGGAACTTCATGTCGATAAGGTTGCGCCACCACGACTCCCTCTCGACGGCAAATCTCCAAAACCACTTACACAGGAGGGCTTGATTTCTGAACTTCAAATCTGTAATTCCCAGACCTCCAAGACATTTAGGAAGCTTGCAAGTGTCCCAAGAGAACAAGTGAAGTTTATTCTCCCCTTGGACACCGGACCAAATAAAATCCCTTTGCAGTTTTTCTAACTTCTTGATCACACTTATAGGGGCTTTAAATAGGCTGAATAGATAGTTCGATTGAGCGGCAAGAACCGCATTGCACAAAACAATTCTCCCTCCAATGGAAAGATAATTCCCTTTCCATCCAGCAAGGCGCTTCTCCACCCTTTCGATGACATGATTCCAGATTGAGGCTGAGGAGGGTGGCGCCCCCAAGGGAAGACCAAGGTAAGTAGTATGGAGGAACTTCCAATCACATCCCAAAATCTCAGCCAATCTATCAATGTTATCGACGTTACCAACCGGATATAGCTGGCTCTTATTATAGTTGACCTTGAGTCCGGTGATACACTGAAACCATGGGTTTTTTTCAAAGATAAACCCATGGGTTTGGGTTTGGGTTTGGCAAAACCTGACCCAACCCGACCCATTGCCATCCCTAATCCTACTGCACAAACGCTGATACCTAGCTAGCTTATTGTTTAGGTTAGAGCAATTTTCTTTTGTTTTCGGTTTCTATCAGACTGTAATCCTCCAACCATGAATCAGTAATAAAAATCCAGGTCTTCTTACTCAAAAAAAAAAAAAAATGTAGCTCCCTCTCTTGACCCTAGCCAAACTGAAAGAAAGTGGGGGGAGAGAGACTTTGAGTGAGAAAATCTTCTTCTTAAACATTCTAGAGAGATAAAGTGACAAGTAAGAAGAAAGAAGAGGTTAGGGTTTCACTCCAAGGCAAGGATTTGGGTAATTCTACCCCAAAGGAAGATCTTTACTACACAAGGAAGGATTCAAGCATCTCCATGATGGTTTCTCTTCCTTCTTCTTGTGTTTTTCCCTCTCCTACCATGAAGTAGTGTCCCTTTTCACTTGGGTGTTTGTGAACCCCACCCTGGCTCCCTCCCCAATCCCAATGTCTTCCCTTTTTTTCGGGGTTTTTCCAGAAATAGCACTGTTTTTAAAAAAATCCAAAAATAGCACCCTTTCACGAAAATCGCCACTCGGACCAGCGGTTTAGACGAAAACAGCCACCCGGAGGCGCGATTTTTAATGAAAATCGCAGGGTTAGGGGGCGATTTTCATGACCGCATGGGGTCGGACCGGTTCGGTCCAAAATCGCTGCCCCACCCGCCGGTTTTTTTTTTTTTTTTTTGAAAAATCTTAACCTAGGTGGAAACTTCAAACAAACGTATCTTTGTGTTTGGGTATCTGATCGTCGCGACTTTTTTTTATTCCGCATAACTTTTCGAGATCTTGCAAGCCACAAACGCCGTAGGTGGTTTGGTCCTGCCTTCGTCCCGAAAAAACGTCGTTTGCTACCCCGAACGAGCCCTTTTTTTTATTTCGTCAAAATTTGGGCGGTCATAACTTAGTGCTCCAAAATCCGAACGTCATTAAATGTTTTTTCATTTCGCATAAACTTTTAAGGACTACAACTTTTATCATAGACATAATTTCTAAATGTACGTGGATTTGTGAAAAGGGAAGGTAAGCTATTCCCAAAACCCTCTATATCCAAAAATAATTCATGTTTTGAAAATTCATTCCTAGTAAAAATTGTAGTCCTTAAAAAGTTATGGGAAATGAAAAAAAATCCATAATGTTCGGATTTTGGAGCACAAAGTTATGGTTGTTTAAAGTTATTGAGGAGTTTTATCTGGGTTTGAACTACCACTCCCACAACTTGTGGCTTTTTTTAATCTCTACTAAAGAAAAATAAGTCAAATCGAATGGTGGAGATTCGAACCCAAGACATCTTGCACACTATAAACGACTAAACCAGTTGTGCCAAGATCATTTACGACATTTACTCGGAAAAACAATATATATATCATAACCGTCGGGTGGGGGTACGTTTTGCAACCAAACCACCCCATGCGGTCAGCAAAACCGCCCCCTACCCGTGCGGTTTTCTTCGGGTGGCGGTTTTGAGAAAAGGTGTTATTTTTGGAATTTTTTTGAGATTGGGTGCTACTTTTAGATTTTTTTTAAAACAGTGTTATTTGTAACATCCCGAACCTTTTTCTGACGAAGATATTGTCCGCTTTGACTTGGGTTGCAATTCAAGGTGACTTCCCATAAGGTCACTCATCCTTGTTGTACTCCACACTGAGCACGTTTAACTTCGGAGTTCTCACAAGAACTCTTCCATTGCACCCCAAAACGCGTCTCGTCAGTTAAGGTCGTTTTCCTACTTATGAACCATGGATCTCTCCCGTGCTTTGTCGATGTGGGATTTGCCTAAGGTGTTACATACAACCCCCCCCCCCCCTCCGGGGACTCAACGTCCTCGTTAAGGTTTGCTCCACCATCGTTCAAGAGGGACGCGAAGAGGCTCTGATACCACTTGTAACATCCCGAACCTTTTTCCGACGAAGATATTGTCCGCCACCACCGCCACCTTCCAGTTACCATCTCCGACCTCCCCTCCATCCACCAGTAGCAAGCCAGCTCCCAAACGGTACGACAGCCGGCAGAGACGCGTTTTGGGTGAAATGAAGGAGTTCTTATGAGAACTTCGAAGTTAAACGTGCTCAGTGTGGAGTACAACAAGAATGGGTGACCTTATGGAAAGTCACCTTGAATTGCACCCCAAATCGAATCCTTACGGGTGTAGAGACTCAAAACGGACAGTATCTTATCAGAAAAAGGTTCGGGATGTTACACTATTTCTGAAAAAATCTCTTTTTTTTTCTCCACCCCTCCTGCCCACATACCTTTCTCTTTCTTTCTCATATATGCAAAAGCTAAAAAGAAAACTCTCTTTCACACTTTTTGCCTACCACTAAAAGATAAAATATACCTCTCTCTCATTTACGATTAAATAATTTTCTTTTTCATAAATCTCTCCACTTTAACTTCAACCCTACACTAAAAATAAATCGAACCATCTAAACTTTCTTCAACACTTTAAAAATACCATACTGGTATCATATGAAATGTGATGGTATCATACTATACAATGTATTAAAATTAACCTACATGTATGTTATCGTATCTTGTATGCTACCATATGATATGTTATATTTTAAACATATAATGTTGTCTAACAAGGCACAAATTTATAAAACAAAATTACAATACCGCTACCATATGGTGTGACGAGGTATGTTGATTTATAGTGGGTCAAATCAAAACTTTTGATGTGATATGATATCTTGTATGTTGGTACCATATGTTATGGTATAATATAATGGTGTACTAACAACAAGCAAACCTATAAACTTGAAATACAATACAATTACCATATGGTATAAATGTGATATTATGCTAATAACTTCAACTCAAACTGAATTGTGATACTTTCATTAAATAATTTATGCTAAAAACGGTAATTAGTAGTATGAATATGATAACCACCTTCTACCACTATGGTATAACATGCTAAAGAAAATTATAACTCTAAATACTTTATAATACCACCATAGTATAACATTGTAAATCGAACGACTACAAATATACTTATAATTACCACGCGATGCCCCATGGTAAGAGTAGGTAAAACCAGATAACAACGATATAAATCTGATTACCACCCTCTATCAGACTACCACCATGGTAACACATGGTTACCATAAAATACATCTAGTTACCAGAAGATACCACCATGGTATAATATGGTAACCACAATATACATCTAATTACAAATTTTTGTTTGCTTTCAATGTCTTCCGGCTCTTCTTTCTCTGAACAAATGTCGATTACCACCCTCTACCACCATGGAAAAACATGTTAACTATAAAAGTACATCTAGTTACCACACAATACCACCATGGTATAGTATAGTGACCACAATATACATCTAACTAATACATACTTTACATGCTAGTCTTCTTCATCCTCTCATTTCCTCCTCTGCGATCGAGAACACTAGGGATGACAATTTCGACCTGGCCCGATTTACCCGATCTGTTTGGCCTGTTTTGGGGCAGGTCGGACACGCCCAGTAGGCGGGGGCGGGGCAGGCATGGGTACCTCTCATCAACCCGACTTGCCCTAACCCGCCCCATTCTCGACCCGTTCTTGTCTAAATTACATGTAATCTTAGTCAAATTACTTAAGATTTTTCTCTTATTACATTATATTTTAGCTATAATAAAGTTGTAAATAAGTGAAAATCTCAATTTCTTCAATAATTTAACTACATTTTAGCTACAATAAAGTTATAAATAAGTGAAAATCTCAATTTCTCCATTAATTTAACTACATTTTATCATATTATGGTTTCTTTCTTGGTCTTTTAATGAAAATAACGAATATTTCTAATGTATTTCACATAATATCCATTGGGTCGACCGGTCCCGCCCCGCGCCCCGTGATAAATTATCTGACCTGAACCCGACCTGCTACGAATGAGTATGAATATCGAGATACCCACATGTGCATTGCCATTCCTATAGAACACTAATACCCCGGCCTATCCCTTTGTCAATCCCGACCCATTAGGTTAACTAATTTGGATGGCTAAACATCGCCCTAATTTTACTATATTCGCCCTAACTTAAAGGTTGAAATTACTGTAATGTCCTTCACCAAACAAGAAACTACGAGCCACGAGTTGTTGTATATCGCCCTAACAATGAAGCACAACACCTAAAAATAGTCGCCTTTATTCTCCCTTTCTCAACCTATTCTCAGCAACGAGTTGCTCTGCTTCCGCTACCACATTTGGAAGATCATCATAGTGAATCCGGCCATGCGAAAGTCGCACTTGCTGCCGACTATCGTTCACGAAAAAGTACTCCATAACCTGCTGATGAGTTCTGGAAGCAACGATCATTAGGATTACCTCTTCGCAACTGCAGGACCAAGTACGATTCTGCCTCCGATAACTTTAAGGTTTTCCATGGAAACCAGCTGGTCGAGAAGAACAAAGGAGAAATTGCCCATTATGAACTGATAAGCTATGGCATTAAGTCTAAATCTTGTGTAGCCATGAAATTCCCTTATGCTCTCCTTGCTCCGTAGGAAACTAACGTGTTTGGGAATTGGGAGTGGGGAAATTCATTGGTTAGTTGACGATTGCAGCGTGATCGTTGGTTTCAATTTAGGGCTCAATGAATGCTAGGGAAGTTACACGTAAAGGGTAATTTTTTCTTTATATTTTTTTAAGGATAAAAATACGTAAGGGTATAGAGGTAATTTGATGTATTAAATTAGGGAGATTTAAATAAAGTTAGGGCGAGGTTTAGCAACCCCGCAGGGCGTAGGCTAAAGGCCGACTTGTTTTACCCCCGAGTCGGAAATTTTGCAGTTCACTCGACGAGTTCAACCCTCGCACGAACTCGGTGCTGTGGCGGATGCCGAATGTCGATTACGAGAGCGACCACCCAGACCCCTGGCGCTGTGTTTGTTTTAATTACACCGTGAGCGCCTCCATCGGGCCTCGTGGCCTGCCCTTCACTGCAAATCTTGGGGGGAGCTCACAGACTTACTGCTATTCGTCTTCCCATGTCTGATTGTCTTTTTCTAGCTTCCCGATTCAAATGCCAAGCAAACCACCGCCGCCATCCTTGCGGTAGCCTCTCATGTCAATGACCCTCTGTCTCTGCCTAAGAGCTTCAAAGGCTTTTAAACCGTCTACCAAGCTTCCCTTCTTCGAGGTACGTCGCCTTTTCTTGTTTCCATTCCCTATTCGCCTTCTCAGCCGCCCTTCCGCTGAACCTGAACCAGTAGTAGCTGATAGCTGCGGCCGCGGCGCCGAATCAATCCCTCCCCAGTCCACAATCCATCATTACAGAGACCTTATATTCACGACTGTTGAAGAAAAACCCTTTGCTTTTTGCAACCACAGTTGGGTTGCGGAGCAATTTCATCCTGTGATTACTGACCCCGAGTTGCTGGTTCGGGTCATATCTTCTATTCGAGGAAAACCGAGAGTAGCTTTAAGGTTCTTCAGATGGGTCCTGGGCCAATCAGGGTTTAAGAGTTCAGAATCCGTGTTTTGTGTCGTCCTTGAGGTTCTGGTGGCAAACGATTTGATGAAACCTGCTTACTGGGTGATGGATAGGACAATTGACAGACAAATGCACGGGATTGTTGATGTTTTGATTGCCAACTGCGTTGATCCTCAGGTTTTGATCAAGATTCTTGATCTTCTGTTGTGGGTTTACACCAAGAGATCCATGGTTAAGCAGTATTTATCAGTTTTTAACAAAGTATTGAGAAATGGGTTGTTGCCCGATGTTAAGAACTGCAACAGGATTCTCAGGGTACTTCGAGACAAGAAGCTCGGAGCTGAAGCTAGGCAAGTCTATGGAATGATGTGTGAATACGGAATTAAGCCTACTGTTATCACGTATAATACAATGTTGGATTTGCTTTGCAAAGAAGGGCATCTTCAGCAAGGCCTGGATCTTTTATCAGAGATGCAAGGGACTGGTTGTTTTCCTAATGATGTTACATATAATATATTGATCAACGGGTTTTCAAAGAGGGGAAAATTGGAGGAAGCTAAAGAATGGATCGGGAGTATGATGAAAGTGGGGTTGAGAGTTTCAGCATATTCGTATAATCCCCTAATTTCTGGGTATTGCAAAAAAGGGTTATTTGACGAGGCAAGATACCTTGAAGAAGAAATGGTGAAGAAAGACGTGACTCCTACGGTATCAACCTACAATGCAATTATCCATGGATTATGCAAATATGGGAGAATAAGCGACAACAACAGAAAGCAATTGTTAGATATGTTTAGGAACAATGTGATGCCAGACATAGTGTCATATAATTCTCTTATTTATGGATACTGCAGGTTGGGGTATGTTGGCGATGCTTTTCTTTTGTTTGATGAACTAAAGTATCGAGGCCTCCATCCGACTGTGGTTACATATAATACGCTCATAGATGGGCTTTGCAGAATTGGGGACTTGGAAGGTGCTCAAAAGCTGAAACATGGTATGGTCAATGTTGGTGTTCATCCTGATGTATTTACTTACACCATTCTTGTAAATGGCTCCTCCAAGTTAGGAAATATGTTGATGGCGAAGGAATTTTTTGATGAGATGCTGCATGCCGGATTATCTCCTGATCGGCACACATATACTACACGGATCATGGGTGAACTGGAGACTGGTTCTACAACCAAGGCATTTAGTTTACAAGAAGAAATGGTTGCAAAAGGGCTCCCTCCAGATGTGTATACCTATAATGTCTTTCTGCACGGGCTCCTTAAGTTGGGTAACTTTGAAGATGCTGAAGAAATGTTTCAACAAATAGTTAGAGATGGTCTTGTTCCTGATCATATAACCTACACTACCATGATACATGCAGAATTGGAAAAGGGGCGGCTGACCAGAGGCAGGGAGAGATTCTATGAAATGTTGAGCAAGGGGAAGAACCCTACAGTTGTAACTTATACCATATTGATTCATGCACATGCATTAATGGGGAGGCTAGAACTGGCAAAAATGTTTCTTAAAGAGATGCGGTGCATAGGGCTTGTCCCTAATGTTATTACCTACAACACTTTGATAAATGGGTTTACCAAAGTAAGAGCGATGGGTCAAGCATACTCATACTTCAATGAGATGGAGCAAAATGGTATATTTCCCAACAAATACACGTTCACCATATTGATTAATGGATGCTCGGATGTTGGAGACTGGCAGGGGGCTTTGACATTATACAAAGAAATGCTAGATAGAAGGATTGAACCAGATTCTTGTACTCATAGTGTATTGTTGAAGCACCTGGACAAAGATTACAAATCCCATGCCATTGAGTACCTGGAGAGCTTAATTGTTCAGGATGGTAATGAGAAGATGATGGTTGATACATTTGATGCTGCCAGAGGCTAGGCTTGGATTATCCTCAGTGTGAAGAACAGCACAGTTGTGGCTTCTCTTGTGCAGACTCTATGTCTCATCTGATCGTGAAATGAACCCGTAGAGCACCTCACACTCTTTGCATGGATGACACCGCAAGTAAGAAAGCTTGCCTCTCCTTAAGAAGCTTACTCGACTTCTGCTAAATTGAGCTTCTTTAATCAAGTATGGTTGCTTGCAGGATGGACTCGCTAGTCTATTATATTAGTGAATTGCAAGAGTGAGTAGAAGTATACGCCTGCCACACCTATTGTTCAACTGCCCAGTGCGACCCGTAAAATCTATGGTGCTCTATCAAGGTGGTTCGTGTTCCTTTCCGATGCAAGATTGTGAAAAGGTATCTGGAAAAAAACTTGAAGCTGTATCATGCTGTCATTCCTCCAATAAATATCTGACAAAATATACCCGATTTATTAATTCATTCACTCCACAATTTTAAGATTGGGAAAGAGGTGTGACATTGTCATCCCCTTTTATTCATTTCCATAGTTGTTTACCATCTGTAACCAACCAGAGATAGGTTGTACTGTATAATTTTGTCAGGCTGTAAGAATACTTGTCATGAAGAAGGAATCATCCAAGTGCAACATAGAGGGGGAGTATTTATTCCCACCATTTTGTGATTTTCATCAGAGTTGCCCTTCAGAGCATATGGCAGGAGTTTCTAGTTCTTGGTAGTACAAGGGAGGGGCTAAAGTAGTAGTTGAAATATCTTGTTGTCTTGCCAGTGACTGCTTTTGCTTGTTCTTTGCGTTAACAAGGACCATAACAGCGAATTTTGTAGCAGTATGAATGCAATTTTCATCTGCATAGCCGAATGTTGTGCAGAGACATGGACTGTGTCCTTCCTTACTTGACATTCATTGAAACACTAGAGTAAATAGTACCCACAAGAGAAGGCCGAAGGGGTGTATGGACCAAAGATTGCAGAGGAGAAAGGGGGAAGTTTTAAGGTGGACGATTGTCCGTAGCCTTAGCCACCCACCTTCCACACCATACGCGTTCTTCAGTCCACTGAAATCTCCTTTCAGGTATATGGATTTAATGGCTGAAAGGGGTGGACGCTTTAAATAAGAAAGGAAAAGGGTGTTAGTTCTATGGATTAATATATTTGTTTGGAACGCACTTTTTTTTAAGTAATTATTGTTGCTATTATTATCAGAAATGCCTATTGAATCAGTGGCGGATCCAGAATTTTTTTAGTGGTGTTCTCTTCCAAAAATTAAATTGAATAATTCATAAATAAGAAAATATCCGATTAGTACAAATTTTAACAAAAAGTCACCATGTGTTTACACATTTAGAAAAAAAAATATAAAATAGATTCGGTATCTACACTACTCAACAAATTTGTATATCCTACTAGACAATAATTCACAAACTGATCGCATATTCAATTTCTAACCTTGTTTTTTTTTCCTGTAATTGGATCTCTCTTTTATTTAAGCACGACTTTGATCAAGGTGATCAAGCTCTCGGAAAACTGAACCTGTTCACACTTACATGGAAACCGAGAATACTACCTACCTCCAGTACATCCCACTGGTGGGCAAAAGTAAACCAAACTGCAAATTCCCTAAGCTATACAAATGTATTTCATTACGTATAACTTGTATAAGGGCTTGGCTAGACCTCTGTTGCTTCCCAAGCACACGAGCATTCCTTTCCAATTTCTAACCTTGTTTGATGTAACTCAAAGTTGAAAATACTCTTTCAACACTCCGTGTACCCATAAAATCAATTCAAATTAGGTGTACCCCTGGGGATAAGGAATCGTGTCTTTACTATTACATAGTGTTTAAAATAGAACAACACATGAGTTATAACCTAATGGAGAAAATGTTTAACAATAGTAGAGTCCTAGGTTTGAATAACACAAACTACCACTTATATTTTTTTTATCATACACAAACTAGGGATGAGATAATATGCTAACCCTCAAAGGGGTTGGGTTTTTGACACCCCAGCCATCAGCCGTCCATTTCATCCCGAATCTTAAGGTAAGTATTAATGGAAGGGGTTTTTTTATTTTTTCCAGGATTTTGTAAATGGGGCAAGTTCCCATATTAATTACGTTTTCATGGGGAAAGAGTAAATCACGTTGGATGGGCAAAAATTGATTGAGCTTCCATATTCCCCTTCTTTCCTCCTGAAAAATAGAAACTCATCCCTCTTCTTTACATAACTCGACGGCTGCCGGAAACTAGCGGGCATCACCGCAGTGGGATCCCCTTCGACCCGCCGGTGGGTTGCTCGCCGCCGGAGGATGAGACACATGGGATAATTTCGGAGATCGAGCCGACGAAGGCCACACGGGAGGCAAGACATATCTTAGATTCCGTGCGGCGGTTCTGGGCATGCCAGGAACGGCGGCTCCTGTGTCGGCATTGAATGACGGGGAGGTGCATACGAGATCGGACTCGCCTCCCGACCGCCGAATGGATTGCTGGCTTTCGAGGGAGAACTCGTCGGAGATAAAGAAGAACATGGAGGGCGCCGATTACTCATTTCTTACCGCTTCTTGTCGTGAAGTGCAATCCTACAACGTCTAGTAGCCAACGGCATTGTCGTGAACATGTACCACTGATCTGGTACATATATCATTGAACTTATACATGTACCACTAAACTGGTAAATGTATCACTAGAGTGGTATATGTATCACTAAAGTGGTATATGTACCACTGATCTGGTACATATATCATTGAACTAAGGTTGTCAAACTGATTTATGCCGGTTACAATAAAATTTCAATTGTCACAAGCGAACCTTCACTATAAGATGAAACTCATAACAAGCATTCATCGTTTTCATCAGAACACAATCGAAAGATTAGCAAAGCTAAGTGAGAAACCTACTATTTCAATTGTAAAAAGTAAAAATCAATGAATGCTCGCTAACAAATTAGATCCCATTCTATTTGGGTTAATGCCACATTTGGTCACTGTGATTACTTAATTGTGTCATGTTTAGTCACTAGAAAAAATTAATATCAAATGTGGTCACTCTAATTACTGAAATAGGTCACATTTAGTCACTCTCCATTAGTCTCCGTCCAACTCCGTTAATGGAGTCCGTTATGTGCTGACATGGCTAACGGGAGCGCCTAGTCAGCACCGTTTTGGACCAGAAATGGTCAAACCCGACCCGCCACGTCACTAAACCCGCCATGTCATACACCAAACCCATTAACCCAACCCGACCCAGAACCAAATTCTAACCCACTTAACAAAACAAAATTGAAAAATTGATTGGGTTACTGGCCATTGACCAAACCCTTTCTCCTCCCTCGAGCTCTGCTCCTTCTCGAATCAATTCTTCCCCCACCCAAAAAATCCCCAAATTCGTCAAAACAAGAATCCCTAGAAGCACGTACGTCGATTGAAGCAAGCTGGCAACATGCTCTTCATGAAGGCCAACGAGCTCACCGTCCTCTGCGACGCCAAAGTCTACATCATCATGTTCTCCAGCACCAGCAAGCTCCACGAGTTTATCAGCCTTGTTGCCACGTCTGTCTACCTTACCTCTATTTTCATTCAATCTCTCCCTTCAACTCTCCGAAACCCTATATTCCCGATTCCAGATGAGAGCGAGCTGAATCTGAGTTGATCAGTCTTCGTCTCTGAAGTTTCAAACCAAGCTTGGATTGGAAAACTTTTCAATCTCATTGAGCTGAGCTTCGGATTTTTACTTTTGTTTTTGTTTGTGTGGTTTGGATGGGAGCGCAGAACCAAGGGGATGATGGAACAGTACCAGAGAGCTCTCGGCGTCGACATCTGGACTTCTCACCATGAGGTCTGGTCTCTCTTCATCTACTTCTTTCCTCCCGTCATCTTCCATGTTTGCGTTTACTGAACGCGAGTACAAACCTCTCTCTCTCCTCCCTTAATCAATCTCTTTGTATGAGGCAGAAGATGCAAGATCACTTGAAGAAGATGAAGGATATCAACATGAATTTGTACAAGCAGATAAGGTGAGGAAGAACTTTCCAGATCTGATTCAGAATCGGCGTCGATCTCACTTTATTGACGGGCTTTGATCTTTCGCGATCTAGGGGAAGGAAAAAGGGTTTTGGTCAATGGCCAATAACCCTATCAATTTTTCAATTTTGTTTTGTTAAGTGGGCTAGGATTTGGTTTTGGGTTGGGTCGGGTTGGGTTAATGAGTTTGGTGTATGACATGGCGGGTTTAGTGACGTGGCGGGTCGGGTTTGACCATTTATGGTCCAAAATGGTGCTGACTAAGCGCTCCCGTTAGCCATGTCAGCACATAACGGACTCCATTAACGGAGTTGGACGGAGACTAACGGAGAGTGACTAAATGTGACCTATTTCAGTAATTAGAGTGACCAAATTTGATATTAATTTTTTCTAGTGACTAAATATGACACAATTAAGTAATCTCAGTGACCAAATGTGGCATTAACCCCATTCTATTTTGGTGAATAAAAATAGGCAATCTCGTAGTGGTTGGGGAATAATAACAAACAACGTACCGGTTGGGCTTGGCTTTGGGCAACTTGTGAAACGGAGGGACGCTTTGATCTTTTAATTTTTTTTAACAGCCAGTTTAAAACCTCCGCATTTATGATAAGTGACCGGAATCTGAAACCGGTTGGACCACCCGGAATTCCCGGTTTTGACCGGTTTTGACCGGAATTGACTGAAGTATTATACCGGTGGCATTCCAGCCGGTTTCATCACCGGTACCGGTTGAACCTGGTTCAACCGGCTGGCATGCCACTGGCATGACAACCATGCATTGAACTGATACATGTACCACTAAAGTGGTATATGTACCATTGACCTGATACAAGTACCAGTGCAACTATTCAAGTCATACTTTTTACACCAAAAATGTGACCACCCACTTGCAGCATTAGATATATTGTACCTGTACCATTAGCAAAATCGAAACTTATCCTAAATGTTCCCGTTGCATTGTTATATATACTTTTGAGTAGTACCATTGAAA